TTCAGGGGATGGCGTATTGTCTTCGTTGACCTGCGATGCCGTGAAGTCCATTTCCGTCGATAAGTCGTCAGCTGAAGTGATAGAAGGCAAAACTTCGGCGATGGAAAAAACGACGATCGTCGAAACGCGCTTGTCGACAGACTCGGAATTTTCAATGGGTAGGCCAGACGCAGATAAGGTGGGGAGAGCAGCAGGCGTGGTTGATTGCAACGCCAACGCTGCATTACGGCTTTCGGGCTCCGTCGTTTGCGTTGCTATCAAGCTGAGAGTAGCAGAGACACCACCAGCGTTGCAAGTTGCAGGACCGTGCGCGCTGTTGAGGAACGCTGCCTGTTGCTGTATTGTTGTCGGCGCGGGGCTGGTGACATTGCCAGTTGTTGACAGCGGAGGCACGGCTGTATCAACGGTACGACCGGAGGAGGCTGGGCTTACCGACAGGGCGTCAGTTGTCGTTGGTGTCGAGTGCTGGGCGGGACTCTGCATCGTGGAGGTGCAGGCGCGGCGCGTTAGGGTTCTCGCGGCGCCGCGCCACTTCGTACTTTCGAAGGGGCCTGGGGGGCCAGCCTAGGGTCGGACCGGGGCCCGGATGGTGTCGGCGTGTCCCGGAAGTCTTTCAGAAGGATTAGTGAGCTTGTCCAGACACGGGCGGGGCCCGGTAACAGGCCAAGAACACGTGAAAGCGAAGCACTGTATGCGGCCAGCCAAACAAAACGGCGCCACCTGGTGGTCTCTGGCCATAATACATTGACGGAATGTTTTACAGCGCGCTTGTGACAATTTTTTTTCAGAAAATGATATGTAAATAAGGCACGCGTTAGCAAGTGACTTTGAATAAAATTTTACCAGCGGAAGCTCTTTAACACGAAGCGGAATTTAACTACACTGGTGTTCTTATCTCACGCAATCTCAAATGTGGTCGTTATGCCCGCGAACTGAACCATGTCTTCGAGCTTAGTAGTGAAGCATATAAACGTGCTGAGCTACCATGGCAGCCATTTACACTAGAACGTTCAGGTTTGAAGTGACTGTTATATTATGTAGGAAAGACGCAGATTTCTGGCATGAGTACTTAGGAAAGCACTTTATACGTATGAATGCATTCTATACTGCAGTTTTTTTTCCAAATGTGAGAAATTCATATTTGCCTATGCATATAGCATTCAAGAAAGCACTAGCAATGTTTTGCTTTCCTAAATAAACCTCATGCTATTCAGGCATTAACGCGATAGAGTTATAAAAGTCGTTTTGCCGAAACTTTGGTCTTTTCGTCGACATTGGCTTCGATGACTGCAAGCATCGGCTTTTTTGGCTTGTTTGTGACCAAAAACTGATAAAGCTTAAAACAAAAATCAATAATTCGGTCCCAGTGAGGACAGACCACGGGCCGCCTGCGTGCCAATAAGGTGCTTTACTACACAGCCACGCGTCTGCTTGCAAATAGAGTGAGAACAACTTGTTCTTGAAAATGCAGTGAAAATAACAATCGTGCTTTACAAACACGGGTTTTCTATATAAAGGCATCAAAACACAACCTGCAATATAGCAGTAATATTGAGTGGTACTGCCATCGTGCGTGCGAGAACAATATTATCATAACTACCTCCTTGGTTAAAACGGATTGCATGCACATTACTGCGCGTAGTCCCTTGCATACCTCGCAGAAGGTGGACAGGAAGCGAGAAAACATTTCACACGCATAATTATGGATAGTTTATAGCACGCTAACTATCGCACAGAATTCAGCCGTATGTAGAAGCCTCACTGACAGAAGCCACTTTCAATTTTATCAATTAGAATTTAGTAATCCGCAGTTTAAAGTTCTCGACTAACATTATCAACAAAAATATATGCAGCAAGTTGTTAAAGTACAAAGAAAGAACACAATATCGCTTTTAACTTTTAAAGTCGAAGCTTAAAGCTCCTCCATTTTTTTTCTTTCTGTAATGAGTACGTGTAATATTATTTCGTCGAGGCTTCTCTGGTACATAATTGCTTGAGTATACGGGTGTTTAAATGCTCGGGTTTATAGTTGTTCGGGTGTAACTGTATATACTGACCTTTGTTTTATGAGTGTGTCAGACTTGCTAGTTCATAATCGGCGCTTTATATCTATGTAACAAAACTGGCCAACAAGTGGCAGAAAGCTCTTCAGCACTACAAGAGAGAGAAACTAAAATGAGGGAAATGCAGAAAGATTAGGAGAAATTCGAGCATCCGGTTTGCTACCCTGCACTAGAGGAAAGAGGAATGGGGAAGAAAAATGAGAAAAGTGAAAAAAAAAACAGTAGACGCGCTAAAATGAAAAAAAAAACGTGAGCGCGGTTGTTATAGGCTAATCAATAGGCCAATATCACGCAAAAAATTATTAAGGGCTTTACTGATTTTCTATGCAAAGACTGATCATGTCGGCTTTCAAGTTCGAAGATCGCTTATCAAACGATAGAAACGGCAAAAGCTCAACCACAAGCTGAACCGCCGCTACACCGTACTCACAAGGCAGCCACAGGAGTGCGCCGAACACCTTGCAAGCCAGAACTGGTGGTCCTTCTGCGGCAAACTTCAAGGGACACTGAGCCCAAAGAAGACTTGGCGCATTCTTCGAGCCCTGATCGACCACACTCACACCAAAACTAATCAAAGACATACAATTCAGCGGTTCGAGCACAACTATGAGGGCACAGAGCACCAATCACTCTAAGAACTTCAAGCAAAGCTGTGTGGCTCTGTTAACAAGCAAGCTACCTCCATCAGCACTTCGGCACACAGGGAGCACCGACGAGCACCAAACGAAGCACTAGACCAGCCTTTCATGCAGGCAGAGCTACACGTGGTCCTCACTGAGCTTACGCACAACGCGAGTCCTGGAGAAGACAGAGTGACCAATAAGCCCCGACAACAGCTACCGCCCCGTGCGTTGACAGCGCTCCTTCGGCCCTCTAATGACTGCTGGAGGAAGGGCGAGCTACCACAAGGCCGGAAGCACTCGGAGGTGCCCGTGGTGCCCAAGTCTAACAAGCCAATCTTGATTGCGAATCTTCGTCTCATTTTCATTACGTTTTGCGCTAGGAAACTCTTTGAGCACATGGTAAACGAGCGGCTCATCATGCACCTTGAAGACAATGATCTCTACCCGAACACCATGTTGGACTTCCGCCAAATCCTCAGCACACAAGACATACTTTTGCACATAAAGGAAGATATTTCTCTCAGCTTGAACAAGCACAGTAAGTCATCAGTTCTAGCTCTGGACGTGAAGGGTGCATTTGACAATGTGAGCCCCGAAGCCATTCTGCGTAGCCTTCAAGATGTCGGCTGCGGGGCCAAAACATACGCGTACATGTTGGTTTTCCTCACCAACCGCACAGCCACTGAAGGGATTGCCAATATCCAGAGCGAGCTTTTTCAACTCCCTAATAAAAGCACGCCTCAAGGCTCAGTGATATGACCACTACTTTTCAACTTCGCCCTTCATAAGCTACCACGTCTCTTGGACGCTGTACCTGGGATATATCACGCGTTATGGCCAATGATATCACTATGCGGATAACAAGTGCAAGCACAAGTGAACAGGAGGACCGACTTCAAGAGGCGGTTAACATTAATGAAGGATACATCATGACCTCCGGAAAAGCCGGAACTGTTAGTACTTGCGCTACGCACCCGGGTAGACCACCAAGCTACGATGCACCTGACCCACAGGTCTTTCTACAAAGAGTTCAAATACCACACGTTGACACACTTCGAGTCCTTGGACTACATACACAAAAAGATGGGTATGGCTCCACAGCCCTACCAGGGCTGCAGAACACCATGACACCGCTCACTAACCTAATCCAAAGGGTGGCAAGCACCACTGTGGCTTCAAAGAGCACGACACCCTAAAAATGGTACTACCTCTCCTTCACAGCCGCATAACGTACGAAACTCTCTACCTCAACCTAAAGACAGCGAAGAAACAAAAACTGAATCTGCTGATACGAAAGGCTACAAAGCTTGCCCTAGGACTGCCGCCAGTCGTCTCCACTGACCAATCGCTTCGCATGGGAGTTCACAATACGTGGGAAGAACTGACCGAAGATCACCTCATCAACCAGGTCGAGATACTGAAGCTGTCACTCACAGGCCGAGCCATCCTTCGACACACAGGATAAGAGACCACCCTAGAATCCAACGAAGGACGCAATGGCAAAACACCGTCGCAGCTCCAAGAATGCCTTGAACTTTAGAAGATCCTTCGAAACATGCATCCTCAACATCACCGAGCAAAGTGGCTCACCAAAGTTAACATGATTCAGAAAAACCATGACAATGACTCGCGGGGGGCGATAGTGGAAGCAGCCAAATATGTGGGACGTAACGCCTTCACGATTACCGTAACAGATTATAAGGGTGCGGTACTGGCATTGGCGACTATTCTCGCCAAACGTGCAGAAACAGTTGAAGAGGCTGCTATAGCACTCGCCACCCAGACGAGTAAGGATCCTATCGTGGTCTTTACCGACTCAAAAAAGCGGTACGGAACTAGCTGAAAGGCAGTTTCTCCATGATGGTGATTAGGCTACTAAAGCACATGAACAATCCTTCTTCCTACACATGCACCGTGTGGATTCCGGGTCACAAAGGTCTAGAGGAAAATTAAGTGGCACACAACGCAGCCCGCGAATGCGTCAACCAGGCATTCCCGTACGAGATGCGAGGCACCTCCCACTCAACAACAGAAGCAGAGGCAAGAGAACCATTACCACTAACGTATCATGCATTGCTGCAGCATTCTCGACTCGAGCTTAGGTCGTTCCATCCGCCACGTCCAAAACTGTCAAGAGACGAAAGCAGTGACTACAGGCGTCTTCGAAGCAACATGTTCACCCACTGTGTACTATTGCACCATATTAGGCCAATGTTTCACAGCTACGTCTCTCCTCACTGCAATGTGGAAGACACTCTGCTGCACCTCCTACTGCAGTGCAAAGTAAGCGTCCCAAGTCTACAAGCAGCAGCACCAGATGTGGACCAAGACCTCGTCAGTGAAGCGTGGGAGACTGCGATATCCCAGCCGGACCTGGTCGAGCAGCGTCAACTTGTTGCTCGAGCCCAGCGGGCTGTCCAGGCCAGAGGATTGCTGGAATAAGGGAATTTCCCATATTCACTCATAAGCCTAAATCAATGAATGTTTTCTCTCTCTTTCTCTTTGGGCATGAAAACACCCGAGCCTTCGGCGCATTGTCAGTATCGGTGACAGTAGACCCTGCAGCGCTGCCCCACTGCGAGAGTGTGGAGCTGTATACTACGCAAAAACTTAGTGAATGCTGCACATCACATCACCAGGCAGAACTTCAAAGACCCTGAAAAACACGGTCATCTTCCTGGAGTAACTCAAAGAAGGCTTAGCAATTCTGCTATCTCGTTTTGCGGGAGCATGCATGCGCACGTCAGCTTGGCAAGAGAACAGTTTCAAAACTGACGGACGTCACAGGCTGTTCCCGCAGTAGTGAGCCGGCCTGAATAATTTCTCTAGGTGGCATTGTACTGCGCAAGCCCCGGCTCCGACTCAGTTGTCCACCGCATGGGCTCTTTCTATCGCTACCGCAACATCCCCTCAGCCGTATACCATGTAGACGGCGCACCTCGCTGCATATGCATGGCGAAAGCGCGATAAACCACCGATCTGTTTTGGGTGTAGTGGCCCTGGCAATACTACCCTATACTACCATCGTGGCGTGCCAGGCTATACAGGCGCCAAATCACAGAGCAATTACATAGACCGTCTCCCTTTTCGTTACATAAGTTTGGATCCTCCTTAGAGCAAGTCTTGAAGTAGCTATCCAGCAACTACTTTTCATCACTCACCCTCACCCAATCGTCGCTACTTGTCACCCTTGCGTCGATGGCGGGTCTTTGAAGACGAGGGAACTAGCCGCTACAGTCTAAGAGGTAAGAACTGCGCTAGAAAAATACTCAAGTTCTCGAACATTGCCGTCAAATGTCGAACAATTTGTAGGTGGCACCCATGCATACGCTTCTTTAGATACCGATGCAGCCGTGTTCGTTATAGACGCTAAACTTTGCCGCAGGCTTCAAAGCGTGACCACGCTGCTTGATATGATGTGCTTGCGTGCAGCGAATGAAGAACCTGTTCGGCCTTCCGCACTAACCGGCTCACCATTATGGAGGACCACTACATTGTGGCGTTTATCGTCCTTTACTGGTATTACCGAATTGCGAAGTGCTCCGCCGAACTTTCACCGTGGCTGGGATCGAGCCAGCGACCTTCGAGTGAGCAGCCGAGAACCCTAGCCACTGATCCACCGAGGTGGACGGTTGCAATGAATGCAAGGCTATTTATACCTTCATTGACGATACGCGGTTGGCAGCCCTTAAACGCGCAAATTTCTACTGCTTTAACAATATAAAAATAAAATCGTTTAAGATGCAGCGTTCATTGATTGAATATCTGCAAGACAGCGATAGAGCAAAGGTTTGGATATTTGATGAGACAAAAGTCTTCATTTTTCCAAGCGAATACTGCCCACTATGCCATAAAAGTGCTCAAAGTTGTGTAAAAACAGGGAGGTTTCACGTGAAATTATCAGACAGAAATGTGAGGCACAAGTCTGTATGGCACATCTTTTTACAGCTGTATTTTTGAAATGCGAACTTAAATTTAAGCCACGGGTGTGTCCGTAAAAAGCTCGACCAAAGACAAAAGTGCACACTGTGGCTCAGGTTGAATAACCTGCGTGTGACTCTTTTTTCAATTTTCTAAGAGACAATTCATTTATCGAAGTGCCAGAATAGCATGCACAAAATACTTCGATCTAGAGAAACCAAAGCCGTACAGTTAAAGAATATCAAAAGCACAAATAAAGCTCATCCGATGAGTAACAGCGCCACAGTGAGACACCAAACTGCAATGCAAAACTTTTTTTCAGCACCGAGTCGCTAATGGTAAATTAACGCGATTCACAAATATAATACTCATGTCGGGGACAACGCCAGGTGCAGTTTACAATGTGCTTTAACTAATGAGCGGCACATACACCGGCATGATTCTAGAGAACGAAAGGTGCGACGACAATACAAAGCACTCTAGGGAAGTGCCCAGACTGATCTCATTGCAATGCAGATGCAGCTGAGCAAGGTCAAATTCTTCTGTACATAGTGCAAGGCAAACGTACGAGAACACAAACTTGTGCTAAAAAAGCGGAACATACCATAGTATGAGGACGGCCATGGCACCCCACCCCAAGCGAGCCTTATATGAATTGAAGACGACTTGGGGAGCAATTCATACTAGGCGCGCTTCAGCCAGGGACGACCAGAGGTCGACTCACCTTCATCTCGGGTCAAGGCGATGGAGGATACGTTAGAATGGGTATTAGGCAAATTTGGGTCGCATAGTCTACTACTTCATTGAGATGGGCAGTCACACCGAACAGCGGAATAACACGATTTAGACGATGCTGGTACAAATTGGTACGTCACCGACTTCAATGTGGACTACTCAATACTCTTAATCATCTACAAGAAGCTCGCCGCTTTTAAACTAACGCAGCAAAGGTTGTAAACATCGGGGGCCAATAGTAAAAAGTTCTGCAAAAATTTAAGGACTCATTCGCAAATTCACAGACGAAGCAGCCAATGTTTTGAAAAGTGATTTTACGTCGAAGTAGTAACATGGTTGTGACGGTGGAAAGCGTAGGAACGATAAAAATTTCGGCAGATCCCACGTACCTGGAAATCGAAATTATGCGAAGCATGTGGAGGGACCATGTTGCAATTGTTTTATTGAGCACCACGTCATAAAATGACGCAAACTATATGTACAAATGTTGCACGGACATACATATGTTGAAGAGCTGCAATTGTTTGTATAACCAGTTCTTTGCACTTGCGCAGCGGTGTCAACTAGTAACATGGTGCAAGAATAATTTAGGTAAGCGAACAACGCAAAGCGAGCGTGCCGGTACACGGCTCACCGGTCTAAGGACCATGGCGGGCTGCTGGCCCATTCCGCAAAGCAGATCCGGCACGTGAGTGACGGCTTCAACATCTGAGAAAACCGGATATTCGTGCGATATCAACCACGCGACACGGGTAGAGCCGCGCCGCGAAAAAGAGGGTGATAAGGGAGGTGGTTGACGATGCGGCGAGGGTATTGTGGCGAAGGTAAATGAGCACCGCTACTTTCCTACATCACCGGGCTTCGCTACACCGAGAAGGGGGGGGGGGAGATCCTGGGGCAAAGTTTGTAGCGCCTTCTTCCAGGTTCCTAGAGAGGCAGAACATTATCGGTCAGCGAATTGTCCCGGCGTTTGCTCACCTGAAGTATTCTTGCACCGTGTCTGGAACATGCCTATTAGCAACACAAGAAGCTGATATGAAGCTCTGATGCTCACGAAGATGCTGGCCCGGGACACTGCTACGCAAATCAACTTCAGCGCATGGCAACAAACCACATTTGAAGGACACTGCTACGCAAATCAACTTCAGCGCATGGCAACAAACCACATTTGAAGTTATCCCGACGTGACGGCTGTATCAAAGAAGTTCATATGTAATGTTTATGAAATTGGGTAGGCAGCAATGCAACTACTATTGATTGTTTCACGAAGATTAGCGTCATTGGAAAATCAGTTTCGAGACCTGACATAGCTCTGTGGTAAAATGCTTCATTGACACCCAAATTGCTTGGGTTTGATTCCAGTGCGACCCTGACATTTATTTTTTGCATTCGGCGAGTCGACGCTACCGTTGTGGAGTAGTTTTCTTAACGCTCGCGCGTTAAAATTGCACATGTGTAATCTCGTCATTCCTGGGTAGATACTAAGTGTCAATCACCTGTGGCACATACCCACGTACCAGCGGCACATACACGCCCGTGGGTATGTGCCAACGTCTAAAAGAAAGTGTTTGATAACGTACGCGACGGGATTGTGACATCATTCATGTCTTGACCAGCACGTCACATTCGTCAAACCATGTTACCCTTCCATGCTAATTTTCGTTCACGCGAACTGAAGGGGATGAACACGAGGGCACCCAAACCTACTTTTCTGGATAAATAGATACGCTCAAAGTCGCTAAAGTTCGCTAAGAAATGCTTCACAATTAGTAGTAAAAATATAACTGTTTATCAAGTGAACATATGCACAAAAAACACACATCACAGTAGAAATAAAGAGCCAGGCATTGTCAATAATAAGCTATTAGTAACGCATTGCTTGTCTATACTGCCTCAGTACACTACAGAATAACCGTTGAAGATGTTGCGTTCTACATATTGTACTTCCATGCTTTCCAGAAGAATAAATTTATACTCGCACGAGGTCACGATGTCAGGGTGACAGAGCTTTCTATTCGGGGGTACTATTGCGCGGATAAGGAAAACACACCATCCAAGTCATTCACAAAGTGTACTGATAGCGGCGTCAACACTCGTTGGCCATCAAGTAATATGATCATAAATAGATCACGTGGTTTTTCACAATTCAGCCTTCAAGCATGTAGCGCAAGAATGCGCTCCACTGAAATAAGTAGGGCATCGCTCGGCTATTATTACTCTATTCGTCTCAGTGAGTCAGCGGAGCCAGCGAAGTGAATTTTGTGACTCCAACTGAGCGTTCGCCACCTCGTATTTGTGCCTGGAAATGGCGCTAACGAGAAAACCTTGAAAATAAACATGTTACCACGTTGCGCGAGCTGACAAGCGGCCACATAGTTCCTTTATTTTTGCCTCGCCGCATGTGCGAGCTCAAAAAATGTGAAAGCGATGCCCTAAGAATATCGCAGTGCGACTAAATGCTTGGCATCATGGTGGAAAGATGGCAATGTATCGTTCAATCAGCTCGCGAAGAATGCACACGATTGGTGACGGAGAACGGCGCAAATCAGAAACTTACACGCTGTAAATAAGGTGCTGGAACCTACGGTAGTTTTTTTTTCTAATTGATCCACTCGCGACACCCTAATTATGCTCGGTGAGTACGCCAATATTTAGCGAGAGTGCGTTCTTATCAATACTCGGGCTTCTCTTATTTCACCTTCTCGCGTTCGACGAAACAATGCTATCCGACGCCACAATCATAAAACCTTGGCAAAGCACCTAGTGAAAGTACCGCGTTGACCCTGTCAAGCTTGGCTGTCTGTTTTTTTGCACTGTATTGCGAGCACACGAAGCGTTTCATGAAGTCACGATGAGCCACCTAATCAAAAAGGTGGAAGTTACTATGAACAAGGAGAGGCCTTGCCTGGAATACGCTCGCACACTCATCCACTGTGTACGCTTCGCTGAGGAGCCGAAATGAGTGGGTGAGCGAGTCGATGGAGTGGCGCCGTAAGTTCGCTGGCTGTGCCAGCGGGCCACACAGTTGCAGTTACTGTCCGCACCACGTGGGGCCCAGTGGCCCACTAAGCTAGGTAGCTATTACTCCGAACACATGTAACGGTTTTGGCTGAAGTAAGACTCGACAAATGAAAAATGAACGAATAAGCGTGTGAGCGCTCAGCATTGCATCACAAGATTTATACTTTTGCTAACTACACTACTCACTTGCAATACATTGTTAGATGGCTTATCGCGTAATTCTACATATAGGAATAACAAGGTGTCATATCGGATCGTCAGAAAACTCGTTTGGCGATGCTGTCCCCCACCCCAACGCATACCTTATTTCTTCTTGCGAGAATTTTTACTTTCTATGAGAACGGAATAGAGACCATGTAGTTTGACCTTGCGAGAAAGCGTTCGATAGAAGGAAGCCCTAGTGAATTAGTATCCAACAATCTCGGGCTTGTTGTGTAAACTGATGTGCTAGATTGAGCCTTACGTAGCACAGCAGGCCTTCAACAACCACGGGAGACGCAGCTGTGTACAATGTACAACACATGAGTTTACTAGCTTCCAAAGTTTAAAAGAATCAGAAAACAATGTCCTAAATGGCCTCATGAGCTTGGTTTCATGATCAAGTAGTCACCGCTACAGCTCAATAGAACGTTTGCACGAAAAATAACGCAATAATTTGTCACAGAGGATAAGTTTATTGCTCTGTGAATGCAATAGTCAGGCTTGCAGACTGATGCTACTCTGCAAGGTCCAACTCGTTCCGGTCACCAGTCTTGCGTAGACGCATGCAAAATTTGGTCCCGCTTCCATCATCCCGACATTCGCACTTCTTTTTGCAATCGCCGTTTCCTGTGCACTGCGAGAAACAATGCATGTTTACCTAAGCAAGATTAGTGGCCCAAATATGATTATTCACTGAATAAAATGATTTTTCTGGGACGTGCTTGTAGGATGTGCGTAGGAGCACATCACGTCAATTGATGAAACATTTTCCGACGACGCAAACGAAGTCATGTTGTAGTGTTGCAGCCCAGTTTGTAAAGGTAGACATGTGTTAGTGTGACACAGATGGGGAACAAGAAATTAACTCTAGATCACTAAGTTCTACATGAAAAGGAAGAAAAAAGGGCGGGAATGAATGAAAGAGCGTCGAAATATATGGCGGCACTGCAATTTCCTTACAACCACGTCTGCGCCGAATTCACAAAAAATAATGTCTCTGGGAAATTTGTGTCTTTCGTGGTCTCATTTCTCTAACATCGCAACGACATTATAACGACTCATGTCAAATTGTCCCAAATATAGTGGCATAAGAAGAGCATGTTTACATGACTAGAATGTATGAAATCCCTACCCAAATAAGGCGTGTTTATCTGAAGCTATTATCTATTATTATGTTTAGAAGACTCCAAGTAAAGTTTTCAGCTAAGTTTCCATTAGCTAACAGAAGACAAAAGTGGCACTCGAAAAGTGCGCGGAAACTACACGCAAGAAGCGACGCAAGTATTCCCACCTCAAGGCTTCCCCCGCTCACATTAGTCATTCTTCAGCTTTTGTCATATATGCAGCTAAGGAGTATATTCACCGCAGCCTGAATCACCATCCATCAAAACTTTGATGCGTTTTTATTGTTATTTGAGCTGCCTCGTCGTCACCCCGTGAGAACCACAGCTTGCACAGTCGTAAGCTACGTTTGAAAAACAACTTGCAATGTTTCTGCAGTGGTACTACTTTATGAATATTTCACGATATTTTTGATAATACTAGGCGTGTGAAAAATGGCGGGTCTCACGCTATGAATATTTCGGTTCATAAAAAAAGAGTTCTCGCTCTCCCTCCTTCTACCGTTGACATACATCTGTCTGTATGTGTTGATATACATCTGCCGACTGGCAAGAACAGATTTTTGTGGTTTCAACCATAGAGTTTCTCAATATACTCTAGAGGGAACTTTGGCGCTAGTGTCTATGGGAGCTGCAACACACGGCGCTTCAGCGAGCATGGGAATGATGGGTAGTACACACATTTGTCTAATTTTCGTACTTCTGGCCTGCTTTTGTGTCCGTGTGTGTTCGTGTGGCGTGAAGCTGTGTTTTCATGAAAACATAAAATAGCAAATGTTCACCGTTTGCGCTTCACAACCTTATTCTTTTAAGCTTACCATTTTGAATCAAGTCATTAAGTTGAAAAGGTTTTGTTTTTTCTTTCAAAACAAAACTGAAACACAGCAATAAACGAAGCCGCAAGATCGATTCGCCACCCGCAAGTACGAAGACTAGGCAAATGTGTGTACTAAACATCATTCCCATGGTTGCTGAACGATCACAGTGCCAGAGTGCCCTCTAGTTAAATTTGGGAAACTCTATTGTTTCAACAATATAATGGCTACCTGCTTACCCACTTATTAAGCAAGAAAGTGCAGGCGAGTAATTACTCGAGCAGTGCACAGCATTCTGCTGAATGAACAATGGATATACATAAAAAACAGCACCTCACTGGCGCCGCCTTCTGCGCCTGTTAATCCGTCAAGTGCATCGTACAATAATAAAAGCTCCCTGTTAGCGCGTCTTACTTTCTATACAAGGAGTTTTTTAGCTAATATATGTTTTCTAAAATTGGTGTCTTAAAGTTGAGCGCGTGTACTTTTAGACAACTAAGTCTGCATCGCAGTGCATGAACTATGCCGCCCTACAGTTGCTTTCCGACGAGTATGTACTAAAATTAGGTAATTAACTTGGTTATGGGTAATTTTATGACAATTTTTATTGTTTTAGACTTCACATCTTACGATATTCCAATTTTATGTTTAAAAAGTGCAATGAATTTGAACTAAGAATTACCTAAATTTAAGCCTCCAATCTAGGTGACACCAAAACTGAGTGCACAGGGGACGCAGACAATCCGTAATTGCAGTCTCGTTAGAACGGAGGCTCAGGAGACACTATTCACAAAAAGAACAAGCAAAAAAACAAACTAAGGCGCATCACCGGAATACATGACCGGGAAAAACGGCAAGCCATCTCGAATACCCTACTGTACTACTTATTATTTGGGTTTGGTCTGCAGTACTTATCTGTTTTCTTCTAAAACTTAAAAGAACCGCAAAGAACGTGTTCTTTTGTCTTTTTATCACGTCGTTTCATTTCTCAAACACCCCTGAAATGCTTATTACATAAAGGGTTCGGTTCACAGTAAAGGCAGGTGACTTCATTGGGAAAGAAATTTCGTTACATTGTCCAAGAAGTTTGACAAAAGCGTGATGGGTTCTGTTTTGTTGGAAGTGTGCTGTTTCTCACTTGTCTCCGAGAACTTGTGCCGCAATAGTTGCAGTCTAGTTTTAAGCTGTGCAGTGAAGCTAGAATTGGATCTTGAGGTGCTTCTGGGTTCACCGTGAAAGATACATACAGCCACTACATATCAAACGCCAAAAATAGGGTTGCAAAGAGCAATGACAAAATTGAAAACACTCACCTCTACACGCGGCTTCTCGCCACCTTTATGGCCCTTTTTGTCACTGCTCCTCTCGCTAACTTCATCCTAAATACAAAATAGCATCGTGTACGTGAGCATCGAAACAGTAACAATGTTTCAGAAAAGCCACAAACACTCATTTTGTTCCGTATTAGCTGCGCTTCTTCTGGATTCCAATACTTAAAAAGACGAACAGCTACGCTAGTAAACGAACAGTGCATACTGAATAAAAATTTGTGCCACATAAGTGTGTTGATTTCAGGCATTAAATTTCAGGAAGGTGGGGCCGGGTGAATGTAACCGTGGGTTTTAGAGCAGGGCTGATAATCCGGCTGCCGGGATTTCCCTCTCCTATATTTACGGATATGTACGCTATTTACATGCGACGACAATGGCCGGCACACTGGCGGGTTGTTTGGTTGGACCTAAGAGGATTGGCTCAACCCACTACGGGGGATGAGCCATGAATCTAGTGGCAGTGGGATTTCGGGGAAAGAAAAAAAAAACAAGAGGGGGATGCCTAAATATATTTTTATAAACACTAAAAGCTTAGTTGTGCAAACAGGCTAATGTGAATTGTTTAAAAATAAAACGAATAAAAAATAAAAATATGAGCTAAATAAAATTAGAGTAAAGAATATACGAAACAGACTAATAACAAAAATAACCAATGAGTATGTACTTCTGAGATCAGAATGGTTGCCGTTTTGATTCTTTTGATAGTTATATATGGCTATGTCTCTGTTGCAGTGGCCTAGTGCCGAAGTCCCTGAGGAGAGTAGTACCGTTTCCGGTAGCTAAAGCCCGTGTTTTTAGAAAACTGATATTATAAAATATTGCCTCAAATTTCGATATCGGTGGTATTCTGTGAAAAAGTGCTATATATTTTCTGTTTGTGCACAATAGTAACAATGGGAAGAACAAACAAAACCAGATCTGTAAAAATAAAAGTTTAAAGGTGGAATTCGAAGTGAATATCACTTCGAATTTTCTTGTCGCACACCATGAGCTGTACCACCGAAACTTAAGGTGCTGAAAATATGTGCCATTTAGAACAGAAGAGTGGGTGTGCTCTTGCCCCATACAGAAATTTTGAAATCGCGTGATTGTATGTAGGCAGCAGGGTCTTAGAATATCCAGGACGGGGTCTTGAATCGATTTTGCCGCCAGCATGTCCTCCGCTTCATTCAGTATTAGTCCCGCGTGTCCTGGCACCCAAACCAATCAGATAACACGAACGTGACTGGGTATATACATATGGAATTTCAATAAGCAAGGTGATGTCTTTGGTGTTGTCACAACAGTGCGAACTGACGAAGAATCAGTCAATATAACAGCCGAAAAGATATATGTTGGTAGCTTGCATATGGCCAGAATCACGGCGATTAAGTGTGCATTGAATATTGGCGTCAAATTGGGCAGTAGCTGTCAATAAGACCAATCTAATGCTGTTGAGTAGTTGCCCACTCCTCCTTTCTTGGCATTAACGAAAGCATCTGTGGCTATAACTAAACTTATCTGTAGAATATTGAGATGGTCTCTGAGCAACCCATTTAAATACTTTATCAGCAAAAGTTTAGCATCTTTAGGGAATATATCGTCAAACTATTCTTACCGTAGGATTCCCTACCTGTCATAAACTCACACCACTCACATCACATCAGACCAGTCTCTATCTGTTTTGTAGTCGTTTTTCTAGACTGGGACGCTCTACCGCTTTTTTCCTCAATCCCACTACTGCCTTCTCTGAATATTTTGACAAAAAACTAAAGCTTCCACCAGGTATTCACACTACTTGCTTTACAAAACCACACATCCTGTGCTAATTAAAAAAGAATAAAAGAAGAACCACGATTTCCATGCTCTTTTTTAAAGCAAACCAGTGTGCAGCTCTGCCTGTGATTTCATTTCCTGATATAACAAGCCAGAAAGATTGCGAGTAACAAACGTACTGATCTCTTCTATAAACATCGCTGTACAAGTTCTTCACGGTAGTGACGAATCCTAATTTCAAAGGAGTTGTCGTAGCAAGATTGTTAAACGTTTCTTCATCTGTTTCAAGCACTGTGTAGTTACTGTCGGAACCGAAACGTACACACGGCGCGTGAACGTGTGCTAGATCCAGGAGTAGGTCTTTTCATTTTAACGTACACTGCACGCGCCGTCTCTGCCATACAAGAGAAAGAATACACATAAAAACATGTTGATACCTGTGTTCCGAAAATCGGTAAAACACGGAAGTAAAACTTGTTTTTACGCAAGTAGTCTAAATGTTACTGTACACTGAAATAACAGAGCTATAGCTCCACTTAACGTGGATGCATCCACTTTAACGCCTGAAGGGGTACGGCCACCTTTTTTCGGAGGCAAGTGTACTCTGGCTTACAGATTTCCTGTATTCAGAAGTGGCTCTGACCAAGTGGGAACCTGAACAAATGATAATATTTTATTTCGATATTATAGTCACTTTTCTCGCAGCGCGCTTACGGACATTGGCACTAACTTGACATCATGCTACAGTACTAATCCTAATGACTTCACGCAGTAGTCTGGCAAGTTTTTATGACTTCAAGCGCCGAAACCCAAAAATAGTACTTGCGCGTCGCCCTCTCGATTGTGGGCTCGCGCCGTGCGGTCTATGTCATCCAGCGTACCTGTGAAGCGAGATAGCGGAGTCTGGGATAGTGTACATGCCCGTCAACGCACTCAACAGAGGGCGAAGGAATCCTTTGATTTCGAATGTGCCGTCATGTCGACAATATTTTACCCCTCGAATTAGCTTGCACCACTGAAACAGGCAATAATATGTGTGAGTTCAACTGATTTCAGCGCGATCTGGCACAGAGGCGGTCGTGGGTCTACTTCAAGTACCGTGGACGAGGAGGAGTGTGGACGCTAACCAAGCGGAGTTTGTCCTGTTCGCTGAACTTTACTTGGGAAGCGTACACAAACAACCTGCAGTTGCTGACCGACTTCTGATTGTCGACGAAGAATCTGCGCGTTAAAAAGCGCTGGACAAATGGTGCGATTCAAACTAATGGTGCATTCGTTAGGCCAGGTCATTGTAAAATGTTGATTGATTGATTGATTGATTGATATGTGGGGTTTAACGTCCCGAAATCACCATATGATTATGAGAGACGCCGTAGTGGAGGGCTCCGGAATTTTGTCCACCTGGGCTTCTTTAACACGTACCCAAATGTGAGCACATGGGCCTACAACATTTGCACCTCCATCGGAAATGCAGCCACCACAACCGCGATACGATTCCGCGACCTGCGCGTCAGCAGCCGAGTACCTTAACCACTAGACCATTGTGGTGGGGCGTTGTAAAATGTTACCAGCTTTGCACCAACCAATCATTACGCACTCTACATATCGGGACGCCTCGTTCGTTAGCGCCTTTCAGCCGTAGATTACTATTTCTACTAACGCTACCCCTTGCCAGACACGACAATTGCATTGCGATAAAACTCTAAAACGGCGACGTAGCTGTTCAGCAGGAGACAACCACGCACACTGCTGGGATTTGATTCTAGTACGAAGCCAGATTTTAAATGCGTATAGTCAACAATCCAGATGCACGTCAACAGATTTCATCTATCTATTTATCTATCTATCTGTCTATCTATCTATCTATCTATCTATCTATCTATCTATCTATCTATCTATCTATCTATCTATCTATCTATCTATCTATCTATCTATCTATCTATCTATTTGCGTCGAGGTTCTTTGAATATTGCTAAAGCCATAATGTTGGTGTGTCTGATAACTAACCTCCAAATAAATGTACGAAATAGATGTAGTGCCTGCGACCTATACAGTAACCCGCTAGCTTTGAAGCGATGTGCACTAACAGAACAATAGTTGACCCTTCGCGGTAGTCTAGTGGCTAAGGCACCCGGCAGCTGACCCGCACGTAGTGGTATGAAATCTCGGCCACCGCAGCGGCATTTCCGACGAAGGCGAGAATGATGAACACCTGTGTGCTTGCATTTAGGTGCCGCTTGGTAAAGAACCTTATGTGGTTAAAATTTCCAGAGTTCTCCACTATGGTGGCACGCATATTCATATTGTATTTTTCGGACGAGTGAGCTCCAGCAATAATGAGAACAATAGCTCAAATTTTCAGTGGTCGCCAAGTTTCGTAAACTTTTGTGAGCGGGTATACTTAAATTGTCAATCAAAAAAGCACGTGTGTGACGAACGAGTTTTACAAGTTTTGAAAGGCATTTGCATTTCGAAAATAAATCAAACGTCCATGACAAGGCATAATTGAATGCGTGCTAAGCGCGATCTTTGTTTAATCCGCTGCTGTATTGGTTTTCTTCTATTGCAGTACTGCAGGTTTAATTGTAGAAGAGGGGTGTGGTGTAAAAGTATTCAAGACAACACTGTGGGAGCCTTTTTTGTAGGCCTCTGTAATATATAGGTCACGTTGTAAAAAATCCTTGCTAACAACGCATATGTGTTGGCGTTTACCCACCATTGCTTGGAAAGGCAGATTTTATGGGGTCCAAAACCGAAGTATTTCATAGTTACTCAGTCTTTTCTTCGTTATAAATGTCACTCTCATTGCTACTGAACTGGCTATACTACTCAAATACAGGTATTACCTTATAGATATCCCAGCTAAGAATAAACGCGTAAATAAAGTAGTGCTTTTTGTGACAGATGTAAGGCAATACCTTCACCAATCACTCATACACATATATACCGAAAATGTCATATTTTGATGGTTCACTGTAGGTATAATAAGGATTTTAGTTTTGTATACACAAAGCTTTATATTGTAAAACGTGAGAGCTATGCTTATTATACAACAAAAATGTGCACTAAACAAATTCAGCCTTTTTGTTATATGCGCCCATTCTCATATGTTCCTTGCGTGCCCATGCGTCTACGTTGCACATTTCAGCAGACGTCACAACGGAACGAAGGCGGAAATCCATCAGGCGAAAATCAAGTGAACGTAACAAGTTTAGGCATTCTTGCACTAAGCGCCACTGCATTCGTAATACTGCCTTCTCATAGGTATACGTAAAAGCACTGTGTTTGCTACATAAGTATTCACATCAAGTGTAGTGTCTGAAGAGTTGTTTTAGAAATAAGTGAAGACAAGTGGTCACTTTGGCTCTTGCTCATCATTTCTTGCATAACCCATTTCTTGCTCGGCCACATAAACGCAGCACTGTTGGCCTCAGCGGCAAACATTTGAATAACAAGTGAAAAATTTGCGGACTGTGCAGCTATTAAACTTACCGAATCAGGCCCCTCGTAAGGAATCATATAATCTCCGCTGTCAGGCTCCTGCGAAGATACATTTTGAGTCACCTTCTGTGTTTTGTAAGACTAAGAACTAATCTTGAAAAAAAACGGCAAATATGGCAGCGCTAAAATTATCTTAGAATGTATGAAACGCGTTACCTTATTGAGTAACACGTGAAAGTAAAGCGATCTCTCGTGATAAGTCACATGAGATATCTAGGGCAACTTTTTGCTACCTAGTAAAGTTCTATCGACAACGTAGTACACAGCCGACTCGATACTCTATTTTAAATATGATGAAAAACATTATCGAAGCTATGGTGGTGTCAAGCCTGAAAAAAGAGCGAAACAGGGCGGCCCTCGTTTCTGTTCATTTGAAGCAGTTAACACTCTAGGCGCCCGGGCTGCCGTATTTTGTCATGTACTATCATTGTCAGTTGGCGTGATTCAAGTTAGAGCACGTATAGATATCGAAAAAAAAGTCAAGTGAGAAATACGAAAATACGCAAGGAAGAAAGGAAAAACATCGGTGAGCAGCCTTCTCTACTTGTGACGCAACAGTGAAAGCAACCTTGATATATTAGGCCTCGAATGCACGGTGAAGAGACCGTGCACACCCTAGGCACAAATCACAGGCGGGCCGGATCCCCACAACCGAAGAAGACGATGAACACTTGTGAGGATGAGCATGCTTGAGAAACATAACAAATGCCCACAATACGAAGCAAAAACAATATAAGTAAAAATAATGTTAAACAACTGTAAAACACAAAAAGTATGAAGATAGGTTGGAATATTTCCGCTGCAGCCGAGACAGAAATACTAAAATGCTATAATTCTTTGTTGCTAATATCCTTTCATGCAGGCGTATAATAGAAAGCGACGACATGCAAATGTTCATTGTAAACATTGGTCCGACAAACCTATGAATCTGCTTCTTCCATTGTCATGAATCACAGAAATCATAGGTCTGCGTATTGCAGGTTATCTTGATAGAGATTCCCCACAATTCACTTTCATGCAGTACTTACCGAGTCTCTTCGACGACGCAATCCGTTCTTTGGCTTGCAGTATTTGTAACCATCCTTTCTGGCTTCTGCGATTTCGCCTTCGAAGATTGCCCATCTGGAATGTAGAACTTACTGTTCGTTACATGGTACCTGGATCAAGTTACCCATGTAATGAGCGGTCGCATTTTGTAGCGATGTCACTGTACTCACACAAATATGGCCGATCATTTTTCCACAGAAACAGAAAAAAAAGCCACAGCATTCTCCCGTGTCTGGTTGTGTCTATACATAATATTTTATTCATAATTGTGACACAACAAAATGGCAATATTTCGCTATTGCAGCATTTTTCTGTAAGCATGCTTTAAAAAAACAGACGCTTCAATAAGGAGCAACATGAAGTAGCAGGATATGTGACTGACGTGTAGTACCCCAGCAATCCCAAGTATTCTAACCTAGTTACGCCCGACAATGAGACATCGGTCATAATAAATTATTTGAAGAAGTATTGCAAAACAAAAGCCAAGAAGAAAAACCTTCAAAATTGCAGCTTTATTGTGGAGAATTGTGAGCCAAAGGGCTAACATGAACCAGCGTAAGAAAACAGAGTAATATAATTTTTAAAACATTCACGTCTGTAGAAATGGCGCGGCAGTCGCAGTGTGAGCATGCGAAGCCGCCTTCAGAGAGCCCTCTATAACTCCTAGTTGGGCGTCTACTTGAAGTGTGATCGCTAGAAATGAAGCACAGAATAAAACCCATCTTCAAGATAAGATTTTTTCAGCCAAATAAGTTTGGTGCGATTGTACGGAAAAAAACCTGAGCCAGCGAGCGTACCGCAAAATTACCCATAGAAATGCGCTGGTCACTGGCACATTTGTGTTTCTCATTTATCAATAATTGATGCTCTCTGTATCGCCGGCTTGTTGAGGAACAGCCGTGCCTGTTACGGCAATCTGATCTTCTGTCAAAATTATTTGCCAATGTACGTTGACACATTTCAATGTTGTACGATTATGATTGCATGAACATCTATGCTGTTAGCAGCGACTGCAGCATGCCGATGCTAAGTTCAAAGTTCATAGATTGAGGTCTGAATTTCGGCATGAAACAAAAAATAAAAGGGGTGGGTGGGGGGACTATGATAGAGCACTGGCCAATATGATATGAGGAGAGGAAGGGAGAGATAGCAAGAGAAAGAAATTAAAGCCAGCCTCATGCCTTTAAAGCCGTAGTAAACAGTGAAGCTGGCAGGCAAGGCCTGTGAACTTGCAAACGCAGTTCTTCCTTTCTTCGTCTTGTCCCTCCTTTTTGTTCTTTCATTTTTCGTCTTTGCTTTCTCAACCTCTTCTTGTTTTTTTAATGTTTTTACGTCTCTTTGGTAAAGTTCCGCCTCTGCTCACACTCTGCCTCCTCACAATCCACCTCCTTCTCATGTACAGTATTCTATAGTGTAGACGGTTACGCTAAGGTTAACCCGCTCACCGTCTCCTCCTTGTTTACTTGCCCTGCTCATCATATTAACTTCTGTATTTTTTGCTGAATTTCATTCTATTTCGCTTTTTAACTATACAATACAACGCCACGTCACGATTTACTGTCTTTTCTTTTTGTGTTCTTCCTCCATCTGTTCACTAAGCTCTTGCTATATTATTTTACTCCTCATTATGCTATACTGAGAGCTGTTTGGCATACCTTTGTGGCGCATAAAGAATATTACACAGAAATATGCTCTATGATTTGACCTCAGCTTTCTGTTTCCCTTCCTGCTCTCCCTTCTATGGCTCCGACTTACTCTCACTTCTCTCTCCCACACCTTTGCTATGCTCTATCTGCATGGTTTTTGAATTTCAGGCCATGACATTTCTTTACCAATGAATTGGAAGCGGACAAGGCATATACCTGCTTTCCGTGGGGCACACCCGCCGAGTTCAGCGTGGACTAGACACGGCACTACTCGAAACTTCGCAAGCTCCGCTGTTAAAAGTAAGTAATATGTCACGAACACACACGCCACTTTTCGTGTTTGGAAATTTTCTCGAAGTGCCAAGGGCTTTTGCTAGTCTTTAGGGAGTACCAAAGCACTCAAAGCATGTCTTGAAGGCAAAGTCCACACCTGCGTCTAAGCGCACTTTTTTGTCTTTGTGGTATGCAATCATAAGGATGAATGGTGGCTGAGCCAATGGGTAGGAAGTTTTACACCACCCACGTATTACGCTAATCCCATGGCCTGACTCATGATGAGAATGCGCTGTTCGGCCCCTCAGTATTACAACCATTATTACTTTTTGTTGCGCTACATATCCCATTCACGGGTTCCTTTTCCGAAAGAGATTCAAGAACTCATGGGTTTGTGCTACCGCGCATGGCTGCCAAGAAAGAAACCTAGGCTTCAGTCAACCTTCAAACCTGAATGTATGAATAGCAGCAACGAGAATAGCAGCAGCGGAGGTGAATAGTCACGTCAACAAAAGCGGCCGTTATTTGGCCTTATAACAGGTGACACCGTTAACTTAGGCAGAACAGAATACTCGCAACAAATGTTGAATGTAGCATTGCGCATGATTCGCTGATATGAAGGGGCATTTATTCTGAAGGCAGAATTTCAATTGCTCTGCACTTTCCAAGAAAAGAGATGATGCATGGCCCTAAGTTTGTTAATGTATTTAATGTTGAAGGCATGTGCATGAAAGCATTCTTATGTAGTTCACTCTTTGATGACCCAAGGTAATCTAATGATAACGCGAGATGTACTAGAAGCATGAAATCTAACTCTTTAAATATAGTCTTTTACATCCACGCTATGAAAAAATACGTCAAGGTGAATAGTTAAGCATACTCACAGTACAACCAGAAGCAAAACGTTCGCGGAAAACAGCAAGGATTTCATTTTGGTCGAAGTCTTGGATGGTCGACAGAGCAGGAAGCTTGCTCAATGCTCATAACACAGGAGTCTACAGTCTCTTTTTATATACATCTTTGTACAGTGGCACATGGTTACAAACATGCGCAATGCGAGATTGATGAGTTTCTTGGAATGCGTTTTGATACATCTGGTGCTCGCGTCCGTTCTGCGCAGTTATGAATGTTCCCCAGTCATTTCATAAGTAATGAAACTGAAAAGCGCTAGTTTGAATGAGAAAACAAAAAAAGAAATAGAATTTATGGAATTATTCACAATACTGTGATTCGTTATGGAATTTTATATGATGACAAGTTCTTCTAAATTCATGCTCTCACTGACATTTAATTTAGAAGCGACTTGATGACATTCTGTCAGCATTGTGATTACACGCCAATCGTCGCAATTGACGGCCTTATATGATGGAAATTCAGGAAGTATTAGCTTTGAGAGTAAAAGCGTCATGATTAACGAGTTTGCTTGTACATGAGATATTCTGAACGGTGAACTATTGAACCTGAGAAGGCATGCTGCTATGTCGCAGCTGGTAACTCATTCGTGCCTAGGTAGTACATCTGGAGAGTTAAACCCTGCCGCCAGAACCCATTTATTGACTTATCTATTTATGTGTGTCTGATATAGCGTGTACTGTACTGCGATTACTAGCAGCTACAATTTTGTTACTGGTATTAGATGATTGCAATATACTGTACACTTAAGCACATATACCGGCACAGACGTAACGCATGCGAACACATAACACAACGTGCTACACCAGAACACGCGTCTCGACTTTTGCAAAGTAATGACATCTTTCAATACAGTTGCGCTTCATGTACACAGAATTGAAGCGACCAATAAAACTAAGGAACAAAGTCACCTGATACTAGAGCAGTGAACCCCTGGCCACTGCAATCACCCTGTCATTATTTCAATGCGTGAAGAAGCTGGACGAGCGTATTAAAAGAAGGTGGATCGCTAATAAATAAAGTGCAAGTTGAATTACGGCACACCATGCGACAAGTGTCTCCATGTCAGTATAAAGCGACATGACTGGTGAAAATAGACAGCATTTAAAATAATTTGGCATGCATTAAACTCTTGAATTACAGGTCCCTTTAACGGAGAACACAAGGAAGACGTTCGAAACGATGGTACATTGCCAGAGCTAGGTATAATGTACGCAACACTATGCTTACACAAAGTTTAACAAATAGAAAACTAAGAATGCGATTGTGCAGACGTACATGAGTATGTACCTTTTTAATACATTAGACGCAATAGCATAATGGTAAACATAAAATAATATGAGATTTCAAGACATCAGGCTGTACGTCATTCAGGATCTAAGAACTCCTAGGTTCGTGGCAAACAAGCGATTTGCAAATAATGCCCTATTTTTGGCCACCATTTCCCTAAAAGAAAGGGGTACACTAGGAAGTAATTGGAGACGTTTTTTAAGCTCCTTAGTTTATGAAATTTGATCTGACTTTGTTAAGTTTATTTGCTCCGTATTCGAACGTAATATTTATCCCAATGAGTAGACTTGACCCATTACAGCAATGGTACGTGACTGGAGCTTGCATAGCAATATTCACGATGTGTGTTGCCCGACTGTATCTTATATGAAATACCGTCTTATGTAAAGTTCAACGTATTTTGTGCAGTGTTTCGCGTTATGTGAACTAATACACGTTAAACCTTTTCAGGTGTTCTTTTGTGTGTCTTTTTTTCGTTTTGTTGGTGTCATTTTTAATATCTCCTTATCTGTGAAATCAAGCAACCAGAGGAATGCGAGAAATTATATCACCTAAACATCATACAATCCCACAGCGAAAATCAATTAACTGCAAACAGCAATGCGTACTTTTTTGTGTGACAGTATTCAATAAGATCGTAAAGTATATAGGTAATGCAATGGTATTTAAAAACACAAGCGACGCCTTGTGTTGCAGTGGAGAACATTGACGGGCAAATCTAACTCTGAAATGCACTTTTTACTTTGTTGCTACTGTTTTTCGCTGGGTCGAGAGGGCCGAGTGTTTACAGCAGTCCTTCATGAGGCACCCAATTTGCGAGTGTCTGTAGTCAAGATCACAATTAACTCTAACACGTAAACACACGACTCTGAGTATATATGCTTGCCACCTGCACATATTATACGGAAAAAGTATATTTACGCTATATATGAGCGGTGGATAAGATGGCACCCAAATTGAACGGACTGGGCCATGTCATCTCCTTCCCTACCCTGTTCGTCGACCTCTTCGGCTCGCTATTTGATTTCCCGGTGGCTAGACCACAAAACCGGTGCTAATCAGGAGATGGTTGAAGTACAGGGCATGAGACATGTTACATGCAATAATCAGTTTGAGGGATAAGGATGGTCGGTAGCCATTTCAAAGGTGACTTCGGTAACTGGGCTCAAGATGCGGTAAGGTGCGGAATATCTTGGAAGGTACTTTTCCGGAGATATAAGGCTACGCGAGGGGCACCAAAACAGAACCAAACTACTGGTACTGTAATGAAAGTGATGATGACGGGCGTCATATATGCACATCTAATTGTCCCGTGAGTTCATTGTATGCTGTCGAGCAACTTGGCGCTCCTCTTGGGACTTCGTTATTGCCTACCTAGCGTTGTATCGCTTGGTCTGGATCGCAGGCATGCGTCGTAAGGTAACCTTCTCATTCGCAAGTTTAGAACATTCCAAGCAAAAGCCACGAATGGTAAAAAGGAAGCTCTTCACTATACAGTTAAAGCACCATCTAAGGAATAGAAGTTTTACAACTTTTCATATAAAAAAATATTTTCATTCTCTAACAAGTGCACACAAAGTTCAAGTTGTCAACAACTTTGATTAACAAAGGCTTCATTGCCCTTAACACAATGAAAGAAACTTTTGTTAACATATCAGGGGAGGAGTGCGGATGAACTTCCCATTTTCACACAGACGTCTTTTTATTTTTCGTACATTCACTGTAACATAGTGCGACAGGCACTGTTCGCGACACCAGCTTTGTTTTTACGAGGCCGCACGCTACATTCGGTAGCACTGTTCGCATCAAGTGTCGCTGGTTGGTAGTGGTTTGTTGTATTTTGAAATACTCGCACCGGAAGATAGTGGCTGCTTTCACTATTCAATGGTTTACACCATTCATGGAACTGAACTTCACAGGTCTTGCTTCTCGCTCATCAAGTGGACTACTTTTTGTCGTGCCTGAATATCACCAGCTTATCGAAGTTTCACGTGACATTCATTTGACGTACCATGTGACGAGAAGAATTCATGGCCCTGCCACGCTAGCCGACCGTTTACGCGTGGCCGTACATATTCGTTGCAAATAAAATGCCGTCGTAGGTTTCGGCTGGTGCAACATTAAAATTATATTTTCAAATGACCTCAATATCTCTTGCTAGATATTGCGAAATATTTCGATCAACCACAAAACGTCGTTAAATCAAGTTTGTAGTGTATTTGATTACTAGGTGTGCCGCGAGGGCCACTGACTCACTGAAATTTCAACTAAGAGTGTTTTTAACCGAATGTAGGAACAGCGGAACAATGGAATGTAGGAACAGAAGTAGTTACTGCGTAACTATGGAAGCGAAAAAAAAAATCAAGGACAGAAAAGAGCACTGATTTTCAACAAAGATTTAATATCCGAGTGGTGTACATATATAGGCAAAAAAGGGGGGAAATGGGCATGCGTAGCAACAACGTGCAGGAACCACGACTGAGATACAATGTCAGCAAAACCCTTGTCTCTTGGTGAAGGACCCGAAAACAAATACATATGTAGCTTAAAAAAAGATCACGATACGCAATCTTTTTTTGCAACAACGCAACCGATGGGCAACTTACACATTTACCGTGAAACATTCATAAATATTTCGACTTGTTTGTTGTTGTGAAGGTCTGAAGGTTTGTTGATGATTTTATGGTATTTTTTGATTGCTTGGATACTGCTTTTCAAGTTGTTGTCGCTAGTCTCCTAGGTTTGTTTAATAGGCACTTGTATCCTCTCGAACTTACTCATAAGCTACCGTCTGGTTTTTTGATTAGGTTCTTAGACCTAACACTCTGCCTTTGAAGCAATCATTTGGGCTGGCTGTTTTCACCGAGCAGTGGTAAACCCCTTTTGCCTTTTCACTCAGCTCATTCAAAATTGGTGAAAAGGGGTATCATTAACATTCGCCTGGTAAACACTCTTAAGATGCCGTGCCCGCACTCTATGCAATGCAGTTTAAGAGCGCCTCTTAAGCGATGGTTACTCGAACGCCCTGATTTCTGCAGTTGGGGAAAGACTTTTGAAGCAAATTGAAAATCAAGGAGGAAAATCTCAGCCTCAAAATGCATCAGTTCCTATGAACTGTGTTGCAGTCCCTTATCTGCATAACGTGTCACATCGGCTGAAGAACATCGGTAAACATGCTGGTGTAACTGTTGTAGTTTCCGCCCCAGAAAGGCTGTCAAAGCTTTATAAGTTGCTGAATAATCCAGCCGCTATTAGAGTAAAATGCACGGTGAAACACAGAGCGCGCATTGTACCTTGTGCTCCTGGTAACGTATATCTTATTCCACTATCGTGCGGAATGATATACTTAAGCAAAACGTATGGTGCCTCAACGACTGTTTAAGAGAGCACAATAATAATGTGCACAATGTGGTACAAGGAGACTTCGTAATCCACTGCCGAGACTGCGGCTGCGTGCCCCTCTTTTAGCGTCGCGAGGTATTAGGCAAGCGCAACTCGCAAGCCACGTGTGAGATAATTGAAGCTTATTAAATATATAAGTTTCACGGTATATGTGTAACTTGACCATCGGTTGCGTTGTTGCAAAAAGAGATTGCGTATTTCAATCTTTTTTTTATGCTACATATGTATTTGTTTTCAGCTCATTCAACAAGAGACAAAAAGTTTGCTGACATTGTTTCGCAGCGGTTATTTCTGCAACCTTATGCGCATGCCCATTTTTTCCCTTTTTTTCTTATATATGTACACCACTCCGATACTAAATCTTTGTTGAAAGTCAGAGCTCTTTCTA